TGCCTTAGATGTTCTTAATTTTTAATCATAAAACCAGCAATTTAACATTTGTTATTTAAAAATTCTCTGTTGCACACAGAGATGTCATACCTTACACAAATTTCAAATATACCTAAAATACTGAAGCAAATTGTCACTGGCCAAGCTTTTTTTTTTCACAGCAAGAATCAATGCTATGTCCTTGACAATAACGGGAACATGCTCTCAAAGTACACCCTGCAACCAAAACTATGCCCATATGGTACTGGAGTTGTTGAGGCCATTGCACAGACTTCTGTGTTCCAGCTTCCAGAAGCGTCTGAGGGACAGAACGTTGCACCACATTTTGGAATGGTTTCTGGGACGATGCAACACCGATCTTTTAGAAGTGTGCTTAAATGTTAACAGTCCTTTTGCTACTAACATTGTGAAATTTCTAAATACTGTGTGACCTATTAGGCTGGAAGATTTACTGTCCGTCAAGGCAATAATGCTGTCATGATTGTTCCGCTTTCTTTTGTTATGCTCAGTAGATCAATGAGCATCTATTGTTATTAAATTAATTCAACAGTGATGAAGATAAAATGGTTTAAAAAAATAAGGTGAATAAACCACCTAGCCTGTATTTCTTTATTGGGAGCGAGCTCTACTTAATGCAGTGAGATTTATTTATGGGTAGACAGATGTGAATGGAATTGTGCTGCCTATGAAGGACTTGACATTGGAAAGTATACAAATGCCAGCTATTAATAATTGAACAAGATATATTTAAATATTAATGTTGTGTGTACTCTCTAATTCAAACTCAAAATGAGGTCTGGAGATGTGTGTGAGGTGGAGCCCACAAACAAACCCTCCCAAACCAAAAAGGCAAACTCCCCATTTTTAGTTAACCCATTTGCCATACAGACACACACACGCAAAGAGAAAACATGATTTAAAAATTTTATATACATTAAATATGGGAATGGGAGGTTTGTAATATATACATACTGATATCTACCCAAGATCAGTGATCTTTATGACATGTTTAATTTTTTCTCTTTAGTGTTCAAAAGCTCCTGATTTTCAGAAATATTCTACATATCTGGTAATAAAGGTTAACACAAGGCACTTTAACAATTTGGTAAAGTAAATATAAGGCACATTATTGCATTAAAACATGAACTGTACAAAACATCTTTATCAAACTTTGCTGTGCATTCAAATGCATTAGACAAGAAAGTAACATAGTTGACTGAAAATTTCCTAAGATGAAAGTTATTTTTCTACATTACAGTCCAGAGATATTTGTGTGAACTATCTTAAGAGCATTCAAGCAATGAAAAACACATCTCCCTCATGCAATTAAGATGCATTACAATGATTCTTTGAAGTGAGTAACAAGGCAGCATTGTAAGAATTAAGTTTCATTACTTCCCATGAATTAAATCCCTCCCATTCATCACTGCTAACTAGAATATAAATTAAAAAGAAGCACAATCTTCCCCTTGCCAAACAATCTAAGCAAGCTTTCAAAAAAGAGCAGAAAGACCATTCAAAGACTCATGAGAAACAGTGCAATAGTACTTAGCAGGGCACATTAAACATTCAACAAGTCTCACAAATCTAACCAGACCAAAGCATCAGAACTGGAAAAAAAATATACAAATTCCTTCCAGTTAAGTAGCTATTTTGTCCTTAACATATTCCCCACTGATCTTAAAGCACTGAATGTACATTTACAAACACTTAACCTGCTGTTCTTGGCTAAAGAGATGGTACAGAAAGAAGAAATAGCAGGAAAAATAGGCTTATTCATTCACTCTGAGATCTAACATTTTGTCCTCTTGCTATGAAAAAATATAAAAAGAATAGTATCCAAGATTCAAAGCATCTGAAATTGTTTTGATGAAGCCTTAAATGTCTGTCAGTAGTGAATATTCAGACCTATAAATCAGAAGCTTATTGGTTACTGGTACACATGTACAAGAAACCACATAAATCATTGCAGCTTATTGACAAGCTATTGGTCACATGTGGTGAGTCTCGGTGTCTACTCACAGTGCCTAATTAATATGCTGCACTTAGCCACAATGACTGCCACATTTTCTTTTATATAATTAGTCAATAGGATGCTGACTGTACAGAATAACTTGGCTCATATTTTGAATGCTAGATCAGAATAATTTCAAATCCAGCTTCAGAAAGTACATATCGCTCACATATGCTTTTTCCCCAATATAACAGAAAATACAACAAGGAGGACTAAATCTGGGAAATGCATTTGGAAGGAGCTGTTGAAATACATAAAATAACACTAAAATGCAGAGTGGATTTGATCTAAATCAAATTGACTAAAATCACAATTTAACTCATGATATAAATTTTTAAAAATAGGGGTTTTTGACAGTTTAAATCAATTTGATTAAAAAAATATATATCACTCCTCGTTATCCATCCTGCCAGGTTGTCGTTCTATATAAAAAGTACAAATGATGAAATATTGTGACAGGGGAAAACAAAGGTAACTGTATTGGTTCATCGGAAAAAGAGTAGAAAATCCACAGCCGGGCAGCATTAGAACTAATCTAATTGCAAAAATTACATTATATAGTTTTGAGTTCTCTTCATATCTTGAATGATACAATTCGAAGTAGAAGGAAGCAGCATAAAACAAAATAAAAAAGCATCAAAATTAAGCCAGATTTTGTAATCATTAGGTCTGTATTTAGATTCTCAAAATTGAGACCGTAGATTGAATTATGTCATCAAGTCATTTAAATACTCACTTGTCTCATCACAGCACTTAACAATCAGAAAATTATTCTTTTCAGGCCATGGGAATATTATTTTTTACACAAATCAAACAAAATTGTGTCAAGAATGGTTTCATGCAAATAGTGCAAAATGACAGTAACAGTTTCTTTGCTGCTTGCAGTTTTAAGGATTCGATGCATTTTAAGATTCAGATGGTTTGTTTCGTGTCTTCTTAAGTAATCAGAGAGTCATTCTCTGTCTGCATTCTCTGTATAGGATTTGCTTCTCAGAGAGAAAGAACACCAGTGCACAGACATGGTTTGTGCACATTCTCTTGATGAGAAAAAAATAGTGCTCTTTGTTTTTTCCTCTGCCTGGAGGAAAGGGCTTGATTATACTGCAAGTAGAAATATTACCAGGGAGAAACTTGAAACCACACCCCACAAAGGTGAAACCCCATCCCACTTCTTCTCTAAGAAGCAGACCTGGCACAACCACCTGCCACATTTATAATATGGCAGGTAGTTATGACTCTCATTTATAACAATTTTTTCTGCACTGTCCTCAAAATATCAGTGCATGGCCTGAAGAAATGCACTCAACCCACAAAGCTTGATTTTTTGTTTGTTCAGTTTTTTAGAGGTCTAATAAAGGTTTCACTTACATTTGCATTTGTTTAATTTTACGATTCACATGGCCTTTTCCTAATTTTTGCAAATATGTAATCTGAATACAGTACTGAATACAGTTGCACAAGCATGACTAGTGTATTAGACATGCTTACAATATCCCTGATGAGGAATGACACTCCTACCCTTTTGTGATTTTGTAATGCATTTTTATCGCTATTTTCTGCAGATGCCAAGTGATAACCTGTTTAACATGAAAGTAATTCCAACGCCAAGAGAAAAGCATGAAAATGGGGAAGAGTGTAGCAGGACACTTAAAGACATGGTATACAGTGGTGCCTCACATCACGATGTTAATTCGTTCCAGCGAAATCGCTGTATAACGAAAACGTCGTGAGGCGATTTTAAAAAGCCCATAAAAACGCATTAAAACCAGATTAATGCGTTCCTAGGGGCTTCAAACTCACCGTCCAGCAAAGATCCTGCATAGCGTGTCCATTTTCGCTGCCTGTGCAGCGAGGAATCTGTGCGAAAGCACAGTGGTGGCCATTTTGAAACTGCCGATCAGCTGTTAAAAAATCATCACAAAGCAAAATTCCCCCATAGGGATCATCGTCTTGAGATTGCTTTTGCGATCGCAAAAAGTTCGTCGTGATGCGATTTCGTCGTCAAATGGAGCGCCCGTCTTGCGGGACACCACTGTGTTTGGAAAAGCCAAGATAAGAAGGTCAAGGGCACAGTGTAATTAAACTGATGGTGGAACTACCTGGTAAGATTTTTGAGTGGGGTGGGCAGAATGCAATCTAGGGATTAACATTTCAGATATTTTAGGACTACAATTCCCTTAATTCTCCATTCCGGGAGTTCTTACTGACAGGCAGATACCTTACAGACACCTAAATATGGCTTACCTGGGGAAAAGGCCTCAACTGGAAGGCACTGAGGTTGTGCTAGGCCTAGCTTCAGTTAGCGTACTGTTTAGAAGGAAAGCTCCCAGGTAGCACTGGGGCAGGAACAGAAGCCTGGGTGAAGCTAGGCCCAGTTCAGTCTTTGATCCTTCCAGTTGAGCCCTTTCTCCTAAGTGAGCCACATTTGGTTATCTGACTTTCATATAAAACTCCCACAATTGAGGATTATGGGATATGCAGTCAAAGAAATCCAAAAATCCCACCTCTAGTGTGATCTTTCAGATGTCAATAGATTGCAACTCTCACCAGCCCTACACAATATAGCCAATGGTTAGAAATCCTAGAAACTGTAGTCTAACACCTGCAAGGCACTTACACATTTCTGCCTTAGAGATACTGATACAATGGTATACCTAATTTCTCTGGGTTATATAGGTACAAGTCATCATGTTATGCTCATTGCTGCATTTTATGATAAATAAGTACAGTGGTGCCTTGCTTAGCGACGTTAATCCATTCCAGAAAAATATGTTGCTAAGCGATTTAATTGCTAAGCAATTTTAAAAAGCCCATAGAAACGCATTAAAACGTGTTTAATGCGTTCCTATGGGCTTAAAAACTGACCTTATGCGAAGATCCTCCATAGAGGCGGCCATTTTCGGTGCCTCTAAAGCGAGGCAAAACAACGCGTGGCCATTTTGTTTTTCTGGCGGCCATTTTGGAACCACCGATCAGCTGTGCAAAAAGGGTTGCTTTGCCATGATCGCTTCCCCGCGATCATTGCAAAGCGATATTTCCTCATAGGGGCCATCGCTAAGCGATGGCTCTGGTGATGGCCAAAACCACATCGCTTAGTGATTTCATCGCTCAACGGAGTGATCGCTAAACAAAGCACCACTGTATAGTCTTTGAAGAAATACCATCCACAATAGTCAGGTATATAACAATCAAGTTGTAAGTAAATGACTAATCTGCAATTTACTAGTAAATTAAAGTTTATAGAATGCAAGTAAAAGAGGAAACAGTCTGGGAGTACACAGTCAGGAAACAACAAGATGCATAAATAAAGTGCTATGAATTAGCTGTATTGGCAAAGAGAAAACAAAGATCTAAGGAACAAAGCATAAGGAAGGCACTGATGATATATTGCAAAGTCATATGGTATGAAGAGTGGCATAGTTCTGCTTGCTGTAAAAGAACAGCAGTGATAGGCAAATGAGTCAAACAAGAAAAATATCAAAATTTAAGTTATTTCTGGACTCTGGAGGAATGTTGCTTGAATAAATGTGTATATACCCAAGCATCACAAGGAGCAGACATCTGTGTTCAAGTATGATAGATGCTGATAATAACACTGGGGAATAGAGATGGGCACTTACCGCACTTCAGCTCGGTTCAGAGGATCGGGCCTAGAGGTGGTGTGCTGCCGCCTCAGATTCCAAGCCCGCGCAGGCGCCATCAGAAGCTTCCCTGTCCCATCTCCTCTTCTGAGTGGGGACCCAATCTGCTAAACTGTGCCAAGTGTTGAACCACAGAAACTGCCCATCTCTACTTAGGAAGCACACCCTGCACCCTTATGTAATCTTTTGTTTTATCACAGCAAATAAGAATAGTTCACTCCACATATAGTTTTAATCACAAAGAGTTCCAGGCACTCTTTCAATAGGACATCAACGCCAAGGGGGCCTCTGACATCCCAGAGCCCAGCCTCCCAGTAACCATTCCCCTCAAAAAGGTGCTTGTGCCAGCTTACCCCTAAAGGCATCCAGTGCCTTTAGCCTTATAGACAGCATCATCCCAAAAAAATCTATATATGTCCAGACACACATTCTGTGAGAAACACAACAGAATCAGGTCAGGCTAAGAGGGTGGTTGAGGATGCATCAGACTGTTCTTCCACAGCTGCTCATCTAATGTGATTTGATTTTAGTCTTATAGAATCCTTCTCTTGCCTATCCCAGAAGAACCTTTTGCATCCTGCGTGCTGCAACAATAGCCTCGTCTTCTGAATCAGATTCACTCTGAGAATTAGAACTCTGCGAGGCAGAACTGCAGGGGGTAGAACACTCCGGGGAACAAAGGTAGTGCATCAGTGGAACACGGTACTTCCCGCAGAAGTCAACGAATTTGATTTGCCGGACACAGCTGTCGAAATAGACTCCTACAGAGCAAAAAAAGAGGAAATCTGTAATACAACAAACGCTTATAATTGTTACTGAGAGTTTTTTCTTCCTCATCTGACTTTATAACAGGGAGAAAGGTGAGGCAGAAATCAAACAAACAGCCATCTTTCTGCACAAGGAACTAACAGGCAGCCTACAACACTGAATGGTGTGCTCTGAGACACTGGTCAGGAATACAAATGAGTCAATACTCATCCTAGCTTGATTCAAATCAGCATACCCTTCTTTTTTCTTAACAATATTCTTACCATAAAAGGAGAGGGGTGCACTGATTTGAAACATGACACAAAGGAGTCATTATTTGAAAGCGGTGGATACATGTCATTGAACTTTGGTCTGATCTCTCAAGGATAGTTCCTTTTACAAAGAAAGATGAAAAACAAATTAAAAACATACAGTGATAGTAAAAGTAAACATATGCAGGGGAAAAATGGATAATTCATGTCACAAGGCAAATTAAAACTTTACTGCAATGTAAGCACAGGAGGGTTGCAGCTTCTCAATGATTGAGGGAATGGTGCATTTCCAACACAAGACAACGTGCAGAAAGCTAGGAGAAGGAGCTCTCATGAGATCAGGGAAAACAGCATACCTCCACATTTAGGATTGGGACAGTTGCTGGCCAGATTCAAATAGCGAAGCAGATTTCCTGGGAGATCACTAGGAACATAGGGAACGTTGCGGATTTTAATGGTACGTCCAGCCAGTTCCTGGAGACTTGGTGGATTAAAGGTCAAGTCACGGACAAATCGCACAACTAATGGGTTCCCACGCAAACTCAGCTCTTCAAGATGCACTAAATTGAGGATCTCCCGAGGAAGGTATGTCAGCAGGTTATTGTGCAGACTAAGAGAACGCAAGGAATGCAACCTGAAAATCAAAGATACAAAAAACTGAGGCAACTGTGCAATGGCTCCATCTTCATCTCATAAGCCCATGATCCAGGAGAGAGGGACACTTTAGTTTCATACATAAATATTAATATACAAGAAATAATGTATAAAAATGCATACATGCTCAGTTTGAAACAGGTTTCAAATGTTGTGCACAATCAGGACAAAATTGGGAAGTAGTGTCACTTAAAAGATGCAAAAGAGACGGACACACTTCATAATCTATACAGCACAAGTAGGAAATGTCTAGTTTTTAAAGGATAAACATGTTTATACAAGCCAAGGCTTACACTACCCTTTGCATACTTTTCCTCAATAATGCCTGCTACATTTCTGTCCCACCTTTGTCCAATGAGTTCAAGGTGATGTACGTAACTCTCATCCTCCCACTTTATTTCACAACACTTCTGTGACACAAAATGCTGTAAAGTGTGTGACTAGCGCAAATTCACTCATGTTTGAGAAAAGATTTAAACCCAGTCTCCCATCTCCTCATCCAATACTAGACATGTGCAATACTAGAATTCCCTATTTTTCTTTTCATTTCAGGTCTTTTCAAGAGCTGCCTCTCTCGCTTCATATTTTTGTGTAACTGTCCTTCTGTTTTAAATGAAAAAGAAGGCCTCTATCGAGTCATTTGCTTTGTGCTTCCTCACTCATGTTTGCTAACACTCCAAAACTCTAGAGAACTCTTAAAAACAATTTCAAAAAAAAAAAAGCAAAAGCAAGGCACAGAGAATCAGTCTAGTACAAAAACAGACAACAGTATATTAGGGGGGGGAAATCATCAGACCTATGCAGGCACTAGTTTATATTATCACTTTCATCACTATCAGAGGCCACACAAAGGTGCTCATTCAGCTAACATGCCCCTACCACTCACAGTCCTATGCACAGAGGAAAAATACCTCATTCACCCATCAACCAATTCAAAAAGCAGTAAGGCACCCACAAGTTAGAAAAGATAAAAATATTTGGGTTCAGTGACAGCCACCCAGCAAAAAAGACACTATGTGCCTGGGCAGCACAATGGGAAAAAAAGTCATGGAAGCAGACAGGCAATGGCTGACCAGCACACAAAGACATATCATTTACTGTATTTCTCATAAGCTGGTCCTTTGAAGATGGAGATGTAAATTAACTCCACTGAAAAATACTGTATTTGAGAAAACAGGAATCCTGTGGTACTTGATATGTGACAGCTCATTTACATTTCCGCTCATTCAGCTAACATGCCCCTACCACTCACAGTCCTATGCACAGAGGAAAAATACCTCATTCACCCATCAACCAGTTCAAAAAGCAGTACGGCACCCACAAGTTAGAAAAGATAAAAATATTTGGGTTCAGTAACAGCCACCCAGCAAAAAAGACACTCTGTGCCTGGGCAGCACAATGGGAAAAAAGTCATGGAAGCAGACAGGCAATGGCTGCCCAGCACACAAAGACATATCATTTATTTCTCATAAGCTGGTCCTTTGAAGCTGGAGATGTAAATTAACTCCACTGAAAAATACTGTATTTGAGAAAACAGGACTCCTGTGGTACTTGATCTGTGACAGCTCATTTACATTTACAAGCCACTAATATAGAATTCATCATGAAAAACAAGTATGTGAGAACCACCTGTTACTCTGCTCAAATGTTATCAAGCTACATTAACTTACTCAGGCTATAACTCAATACCACTTATCTGACAGTAACTCTATGGGGCTCACTTCTAAGTACACAGTCAATAGAGATTAATTACTTATTCAGAAAGCACATGTAAATGTTGCAGAGACTTACAACAATCATGCATATTCAGGTGGCCTGTGGATGGCAAACTACAGCCAGTCACAAGTTAGCTGAACATATGGCAAAATACAGTAAAATAGACCCACCTATAACAACCAACATATAGCTTGCATCTTCCTTCAAACACAAACACTTTCTGAAAGAATTAGGTTCACAAATATTTGAACTCAATGAGATCAAACTGACACATTCAAAATAGTGAATGATTAAAAATACTTACTGTGCCAACTGAGGAGGAATGCTCTGTATCTTGTTATCACATAGGACAAGATAATTTAGGGAAGGCAGATTTGCTAACTCGGGAGGAACTGATGTAATAAAATTTCCTCCAAGATATAAAAATTCTAAACTGAAAGACAAGAAAGAAATTAAAACATAAACTTTATGTTAATAACCTCTCAGCTCAGAGTTCTGTCCCAGCAGGACATTCACAGCAAAAGCCACCGCACATACATATGAAGAAGTGGTCTAGCACCTTGGTACTGATCCAGATTCATAGAATAATGGAACTGGAGGTGCCTATAAGGCCATCAAGTCCAATCCTCTGCTAAATGCAGGAATCCAGTTTAAAGTACAGCTGCCTAACTTTCTCTATTCCATTGCCATATTGCTCTAATAGTCAGGAGATTTTCCTGATGTTCAACTGAAACCTGGCTTTCTGTAACTTGAGCCCATTATTATCTGCCTCGTATGCTGGAATGGTTGAGAACAGCACCTGCCCTACCTTGGGCACATCATGAGAAGGCAGGATTCTCTGGAAAAGACAATAATGCTGAGAAAGCTTGACAGCATGAGGGGGAGGGACCAATTAAGAGATGGGTTGACTCCCTAAAGGTAGCCACAGGAGCTGAGCAGAGCAATTGAGGGTAGGGCATTTTGGAAATCACTCATTCATGGGGTCACCATAAGTTGGAGGTGACTTGACAGCCCGTAAGAACAACAAAGAACTTTGAGCATATCCCTGTTAAGTAACATGTGCCAATCACACATGGCTAACCAAACATGACTCCACCATTGTTATTTTCTCAAAAGACTACAAATCCACACTATTCTGGGAGGAAAAGGTTATCTTTAGTGTTAGCCTTAAATTCTCATGTACCAAGCATTTTAGAGGTATGGACACACTAAAAAATCAATTAACTTCTTCTCCCTGAAGGACTTCAATGCATTTATCAGCAAACAGTAAGTTGATCCTTTATACTTTTTACTGGAAAATGAGAAAACAAGCATTTTCACTCATTTCCCTTACAATCTCCCTGAAAGTAAAGTTAGGCCCAGATATTCGGGCAGGCTTCTTCAAAAGGTTTCGTAAACTAAGTACCTGGATAAATTTCTCATCTTTAAAAGGGCAAAAATGAATATATTCATGAAAGCCAGATTATTAACTATTGACAACCCGAACTAACACAAAACTCTTTGTTCAGAGACAGGAATTAAGAAAATCAGGGGCAAACGAGGAAGGGGGGGAAGGCTGTCCCTTTTGTTTGTGTCCTTTGGGGGTCCTTCCCATCAGTCTGTTGCCTGAGGGCCGGTGAACACAGGATCCTACGCTGGATAAATCTTCGGGGCAGCTGTTTCTTTCTTGAGCCCCTATTATCCAATCTTTCCATCGAAACAGTTCGCGGTGGCATTGCAACAACCGTCATTAATAGTTTAAGAGGGCTGTGATGGTGTTTGGCCCACCTTCATGGCTCAGGGGCTAAGGCTCATGGGGCACCTGAGCTGGGGAAGACCCTGCCGGATTCAAATCCATCTCCACCAGGCTGGGTCTCCTCAGTGGTGGCCCCACAGGGCATCACAACACAGGGTGATGCAGAGCAACCCACAGGGGCGCCTGACCATTGAACTGCCCTATTCCCCATTATAAGAGAGGACACTCACCCCACACACACCCTGGCCCCAGATGGCCTCCCCCCTGTCCGGAGAGTGTGTGTGTGTATGTGTGGGGTGGGGGTGGGGGGGAGAGAGACATACCCTAACCCTTTCCCCTCACCCGCTGAGCTCCTGGATGGCCGGAGGGATGCTCTGGAGGCGGTTGCTGCCCAGGCTGAGGCTCTGGAGGCGGCGCAGGCCCAGGACCGAGGCGGGCACCTGCGTGAAGCGGTTGCCGCTCAGGTTGAGGACCCGCAAGGAGCGCCCGAGCGGCGCCTCGGCCACGTCTTTGGGGAAAGAGCCCGGGGCGCCCAGCCGGTTGTTCTTGGCCAGCAGCGTGTGCAGCCGCCCCAGCTCGAGCAGCTCCGAGCCCAGCGCCGTCAGCCCCGTCCCGCTCACGTCCAGCACTTCCAGGGCCGGGAACCAGCTGCCCAGGCCCGACGGCAGCCCTCCGCCCGGCGACAGCCACGACGGGGTCAGCACCAAGCGCCGCGACGACGCCTCCACGCTTCCCCTCAGCTGGAGCGCCGCGGCCTCGTCCGGCGGAGGGAGCTCCCCCGCCACCGGGCCCTGCTCCTCCGCCATCTCCGTCGGGAACCAGCCCCGGAACCTGAAAACGGCCCGGCCCGCCCGACCGACGGCGACGTCATCAAACCGCGCCGCTCTTCCCTGTCCCTCGCTGAAGGGGGTTGTTCCGCGTCTTATATGCACATTCCCGGGCCGAGGCGACGCAGGGCGGGGACGGGGGTTGGCGGAAGCGTTCGGAGACTCCAACCGCGGGAGGCACCGGAGTGGGGAGGCGGGCAGCCCGGCCAGGTTTCCACAGGGCAGGCGGTGGGGCTGCCCAAGGTGGGTGGGTCGGTGGGCGGGTGGAGGTGCCTTCGTTCCCTGCCTTTCCCAAACGACCCCCGGGGGCAGTTTTTCTCCCGGCTTGTGCTGGTTTTGGACGTAAATGTGTCAAGTGTAAATAAGAACTTCGTAAAGAGCGGCATTTGAACTTGGTCGGAGGTTTACCATTCCAGGGACGAGCCTCGTCGGTGCCAAGCGATCTGTCTTTATTTAATTTATTGACTCGGTCTTTCTCCTCGACAAGTGTGTCCCACGAATTCTCCCTAACGCCTTCACAGAAGGTGAAAAAAAAATCCTCCCCAGTAAGAGGACAGAACAACGACTTGGGACAGGATCTGCTGTTTTCCGAGCCGTCGTTCTTCCTTTTCCATCCAGCTCCATTATGTAAAACCTTCTGTTTAGGAAAGGTAGCCGTGTTACTCCAGGGAAGCCTATCAGGTGGACGAGGTCCGCGAAAGCTCACATTAACGTGTAGCAGTTAGTCTTTAAGTTGCCACGGGGGTTTGTCTTTATTTTAATTTTTTAATATTATTTTCCACCTTTGTGCTTTGCCTGGTATGCTTTATCTGTTATATAAAGTGTACTCCTGTTTAGAAAAGGTAGCCGTGTTAGTCCAGGGAAGCCTATCAGGTGGACGTGGTCCGCGAAAGCTCACCTTAACGTGTAGCAGTTAGTCTTTAAGTTGGCACGAGATTTTGTCTTTTTTTATTATTTTATTTTTTTATATTATTTTTCACCTTTGAGCTTTGCCTGATATGCTTTATCTGTTATATAAAGTGTACTCTATATAAAACTTTTTAATTTTTAAAAACGAAAGTTAAAATTTCTTCATCAGGATTTGCATAAATCTTTCTTTTTACAAAGCAGCAGGCTCTCCTTGCTGTTTAAGGTGTATTGTGTTTCCTCCATTTGTATGCTCTTGGAGGAATCAGCTTTGCTACTTCAATGAAGTGTCACCTGATCTGAACAAATTCTGGTGCTGACAGCTAGCAACGCACAATAAGTGCTCTCGTTTTTTAAGTTACCACAAGACTGTGTTGTTTTTGTTGTTTCTTCTAACAAGGCTACCCCTCTGGCATGTTACTACAGTACTTTGGAAATCAATATGGTGCAAAAGAAATAAAACATTTGAAAACAACATTTGTAACGGGCGTCTTGCACTTCTGGAGATAAGTGTGGGGTACTTTCTGCAGTCTGAAGAAAGAATATGTGTTATTAGAAGAGCCCCTGAAATGGCTTGGCACATCCGGCTGTGCCTTCTTTTCAGTGCCCTTGACCAGAAAGGCAGAAATGTATGAGTACTGTGATAGGTCGAATGCTATAATAAAACGAGTACCTTGTATATTTATGCAATGTTTTCAGGGCTATTTGCAAAAAAAATGTGAGAGGGGATAAAAAATGATCAGTACATCTCTTCATGTGTTCAATGATTTCTCAATCCAAGGAAAAGTGAAGAGTATAAAATTCTATTGTCTCAAAAATGTGAGGTCTTTAACTGATGACAGGGATGGCTCTGGACATCCCGACATCCCTGTGTATGCCACTCCCCCAGATCCTGATCTTGTGTTGAATGGCGAAGTGGTGGGTAGTTCTGCTTGTGGCAGGCTGACTTTGAGTAGAACCCTCATCTCAATTGTGTACTTTGTGTCCAAATCCTGTGCCCATCTAATTCTAGATGGGGCTGTTTGGCCACACACACAAGCAAAGATAATGCTATAGGATTTTGTTGCGTTTGGATGAGAACCTACATGATCTTTGTGGTGGTATGTTTTGATGTGTTTACCATAGATAAAATACTAATCTACACACTTAAGTGTATTCAAAACTATGGACTCCTACAGCAAAGAACAAAACCTTCACATAGAAATCAGTTACTTAAAGATTCTAGAAGCTTTCAAAGCTGCCTTTAACACAACTGCAGCCATGGTGGTTTCCCACTGCCTCCTTCAAACTGACCAGCTTCTGGGATTTTCCCTTGCATGGTGTCATTTTGTGAATGAATGTGAGCTCAAGAGGGTATTCTGTAGACCAGCGGTCCCCAACCTTTTTGGAACTGCATTCTAGTTGGGGGGACGGGCTCTGTGCCCAGGGGGGCAGGGGCCCCGTGCTCAAGGGGGATCACGCTCGCGGGGGGTGTGTGTGTCAGAGATCCGTCTCCGTGGCCCAATCCTGGGAAGCCCATGGACCAGCACCGGGTCACAGACCGGGGGTTGGGGACCGCTGCTGTAGACCATTTTGACTGCTTCTATTGGTGTTGTCAACATTCAGGTTGCCCTTTGCTATGTAAAAAATGGCAGTCTTCTTGCTGAAAATGCAGGCACAGTGTTGTGCAGCAATATCAGGTCTTGGTGTTTTGAATTGTGGATACAGAACCACAATACTGTACCCAAAAATCATAAGCTGGAAGTTTTTTGAAGAATTGAATTTCTATATTGCAGTGCATGCATAAGTGCGATTCCATAGAAACATGTTTTTTTGTTTTATGTTCAGTCAGTCCACAGTTGTCACTTCGGAAAACTGGCTAGGAAAGTCATTGCAGCAAAGGAAGTAAGAACTTCCTCATTTCAAATGGATTTGCCCAATTGTCTTCCTTCTGAATGCCTTTCCCGCCCCCTTCCTGCTTTAGATAAGGTCATGTCCTGGGCATCAGCTCTGACAGAAATTGGGTAATTCTTTAAGTTAGGATGTCAACAGTATCTTCGCACATTTTGTTGTTTCTAGTTCTTACAGTTTCGAAGATCTTTTTAAGACAAACAGGACACTACTTGATGTAAATATTTCAGAAACCATCATTCACAGTCAATGACCTTTCAGATGCATGGTGTACAATCTCAATAGACATATAAACATGGAGAGGATGGGAAAGTGAAATGTAATGGAAAAACAAAAGGTTCAGCATGCTGATGATCTTATCACTGTTAAAGGTCATTAAGCATCTTTGGAGATGACAAATGCAGATCTTAATAGTGGTCACTGAGAGTTGTTCAAGTCATTCCTGAGGAGGGAGCATATGGCCCACAGTTGCTCCAAGGCTGAAATCAGAGAAGGCATAGGGAATAAGAATACAAAAATCACAGGCAGAGAACCTTTGTCCAAACAGTTGTCAATTGCAGTGTTTCATCAGCAAATAAAAATAATCTTTAAAGCTGTCCACGTTGGTCATTTGTGAATCTTACTAAACCATGTTGATCCTTTATCAGTCTTACTAAATTCCACATTTCATTGGATATGGGTTGTAAATATTTACACAGAGTAGGTGGCTGGTTTTTTAATTAATATCACTCATTATATTCAAATGTTTCTATTTTTTATTAAGAAATATTGAATTAATAAGAGAATTGCTATACTGATTGAAATAGTCCCAACTAGAGAAGGCCCACTGAGTCAGTGGAAATTTGGTGTGTAAGTACGTACCTCCATATGTTCTATTGATTTAAATTGGCCTACTCCAGTTGCAACTTTCTGTGCTAAGCAACACGATTTAAGCCACTGAGTACAATGCTCTGATTTTGTAGTGTTTTAGTGAGCATGTTAACAATGTGCCAGGTCTTTGTGACAGAAGTGTTTAAAAAGAATGGTAAATCGGCATGCTTACACTGCAGTACTTGGTTTGCAAAAACTAAACTAAAAAAAACCCTGTACTGTTGAGCAATATTTCCCATACTTTCTACGTCAGGGAACCCTTGATCTGTACATAGAGGGAACCACTGTATTGCAGATTACGTCACAGTCAGTTCAAATGGAATGCTGGCCAAGCTACTAGCTGTCACTGTTGCTTTGCCAGAGCTGGAAGGCAGTCCAAACACATACCAACACGCTGCACCTGCATTTAAAAAATTGACATTATTAGGTCACACAATCACTCTATCAGGCAAGCTTCCCTACGGTCTCTGATGCTTTATTTGCAGAACACCTGATAAGGTTCCAAGGAAAAACCCAAGAGTTCTGAGAACATATATTGAAAAACACTGACTTGCAATGTGGCCCAAATTTACTTATCACATTAAAAAGCCTCATTTCAAGATAGATCACAGGTACCTTTTCTTTTCAGTACCCCCACCTGCTCTTGGAAACATGACTTTTCTACTACCTAAGCTAGTTTGCTTTAATTGACTTACATCTCATGAAGTAGTAATGCTACTCCAAAGTCTGAATACTCTGTAGAAATGACTGAGCGGTATTGTCTATTCCAAAATGAAGTGTAACAGCAAAGACAGGAAGCCATTGTCTTTCTAGGGTCTTATTTAAACATTTAGTGTGTGAGTATTTTTAAATATTACTTTGCCAATCATTGTCCATTCTCATAATATCTATGCTACAAGAAGCAGGGGTATGACTGAGAGGCCACGAAAACGAAGGACAATTGGGAGAGAGAAAATGTGACAGCTGACTCATCGGTTCCCATCCAAGGTAAGGAAGTGCAACCACACTATCTGAAAGCAGTCTAATTTTTTGAATGTGTGCTTCATCAGATGCTTTTGATCTGCAGCTCCTATCATTCCTTACCACTGTGCTAGCTAGTGCTGATGGGCATTTATGGCTAACAACACGAGACCCCACCCCACCCCACCATGGTCTTGCATCTCCCTTCTAGAATAAAATACAGTGGTGCCTCGCTTTACGAGCGCTCCGTTTGACGCAGAAATTACATGACATTGATGTTTTTGCGCAAAATGATGTTCCCTGCTTCGGTAACTGATCGTCGCAAAGTGATGACTTTTGCACAGCTGATCGGCGGTTTCAAAATGGCCGTCGGGTGAAAAACATGGCCACCCGCTGTTTTCTGGGATGGATTCCTCGCTGCACAGGCAGCG